AATGTAGGTATAGCACTCATATAACGGAAGTCCCAAAATTGAAAGGATTTTAAAAATAACCGATTGGGCCATAATTCCAGGTTTCACTTAATGGAGAGAAAAATTTCGGACCTACCATACTTATCGTAAGTTTAGTGTTGTTATTTATATTAAGCATTTTTACAGCATTCTTTAAGGCAATCCCCTAAATTTCCTGCAGTCTAGTGTTCCAATTAAAAAAATATTAGCCCCTAAAAGTATGCTATGAAAATGTATAATATAAATATCCCACCACTGAAGCCAGACACTTTACATATGATTAACATTATGTGTAAACTTGCCTTTATATTGGGAATAAATCTTTCTGTTATTTATCAACTTAACTTTCATCTGTATGCGTAATTGCAAATACCAAACAACAACAGCAACAATTAAAAAAAAACTAAATCCAATTATTTGTTGCTCAACAAAATACTATTATTTGTGAGCTTTGTAACAAAATATTGTAATTTTAAATTGTCGTTTTTGTTTTCTTTCTTTTTTCTGCCTATTTTTTGTTTACTTCTTTGCTCATAAAATAAATCTCAGCAGAGAAGAGAAAAAAAACACTAAAGAGAAAATATTCCTAAATGAGTAAATGGTGGTGGGTGGCCGATCGAATGTCTGTCTGGCTGTGTGTATAATATTTCATATTGAGAGAGGCGAAGAGAGCGAGATCTTTCCCCTTACTAGATGACAGATTTTCTGATGTGTACAATGTAATATAAAACTGCCGCAAATGTCGTTTATCGTTTTTATTTTGTGATTGCCTTTATTTGATTGCATTTTTGTTGTTGTTGCTATTGTGATTGTTACTCTTTCAAAGTGTATACTAATAAAAACGTCATCCCATTATCATAGATTTTTTTGCATGCAGCAATGCATATGTATGTATGTGTGTGTGTATTTGCTGTACACCACTCATTATTATATTTGCTGATATGAGTTTACAGGTTTCGTTTCTATTTGATTTCAAGTGGCGAGCTTTTTTACACTTTTACTTTTATTTGCACATCACTCGTCGTCGGCGGCACAATAGGAGGGGGGGGTCTCTAAATACTAAATACAAAAATATGGGCTGTTTTTTTTTTTTTTCTTCAGACTCGTAGTCAGTCTTGTCTCTCGTTCACAATCGTCGGCATTGTCGCCGTTGTCGTAATTGCGAATAGAGGTAGACACGATGAATACAATACTACATACAAAAGGTCAATTACATTTATTCATACAATGGTTGAGCGGTGCCAATAGATGTGTGGTGAAAACATTCATACCTACCTTAAATTTTGAAGCAGGCCGCCAGCGTTGCTGAAAACAGACAAACAAAACAATTTTTAATTTATATATTATAGTTTATTGTTTGTTATCGTTTTTCCATAGAGATTATATAAATTAATGTGTATTTGCAATTTCAGATTATTTTTTGTTGGTGTTTTTTGTGTCAATACCCCAGACATTGTTTTGTGGGGGGGTCTGAAATTCTAACATGCAAAGCAAAAGGAACGCACATTTAGTGTCCCAATTGAGCTCTAGTTTTGAAACTCAAATCAACTAAAATTGAAGAGAATATAATTCAAATAATTCACCACTACTTTCATGACTCCAAATTCGTTGTGTCTTCCATCTTCACAACGATTTAAAGTGAATTAATGTCACAACTTCACTGCCTCTAATTCTTTCAATCGGAAATACACCCCCTCCCCCCTTGATTGTTTTCTGTTACGAAGCCCCTTTCCTTACTCCTAACTCACTATCAGTGTGTTCTACATCAAAATTTAATTTAAATAAAACACCCGGTTTTGATCAATCCTCCACATAGCAACAATGTAGTAGTTAAAAATCCAAAAAAAAGATTTCCAAAGCGTCAAACAAATTTGCAAAGTTTTTTTTTTTTTGTTTGTTTGTTGGCACTTGTTGGTATTCCTCTGCTGTGGCCGGTATATGTGTCGTAAACAAACCAGCAAACAAATATTTGTTTTGAATACATTTATTTCATTAGCTGGCTGGCAGACAGACAGAGAGTCATTAAATTCAAGCCATCTTTTTGCCAGAGATAGACGAGGGAGAAAGAGAAACCGGGGGCAATTAAAGAACACACACACGATTTTAAACATTAAATAAATTGAATTCAAATTCTTCAAGAAAATGACTCCGGAACAATTTCAGAATATGACTTGTAAGAATTAGAAAAAGAATCTAATGATCGATCTATAATGTTTCCATAAAAAAAAAAAAAAAAAAAAAAACAAAATGCAAAATAATATAAACCCAGACCTAAAGGTGTTTAAAACTATTGACAGAGGGATCGTTGCTCATTGAGACACCAATTGTTGGCAAAATCGGTCGAAATCGAACAATTTTCGTATTTGTGGGGACTACACGATAACTTGGTTATATTAATTTGTGTGACTTGTATAATACCAATAATATTTTTTAGCCCCTTAAGGTGTGCTAATTTTTGATATTTAGAAATTGCGTAATTTGGGGCCCGATTAGAATTAATTTATCTGAAAATATGTATTTGGTTTCATCCAGGTGTAAAAAGCGTAACGTCTATCAAATACCCATATTTAATTTTCCGTCTCAACAAAGTTTTTAGCCATATTTTGAGAAGGTCCAAAATGGGATTTAGTGGCAATTTAGGGTTAAGGTTCAAGGTTCCTTACATTTTCAAATACGTCGATTACACGGGTTTCTACTTATTTGTTCAATTATATTTTTCTGAAATTGTATTTTATTTTTTAGTCATTTAAATCGTATGCGCCTATCAATATTCTCTAAAGTTTTCTTCTGGAAAGTATTTGTTAGCCAAAAACGGAGAGCTGGGCCCAAAAGGGAGTTTGGTACTCGCTACCAAAAGATGGTCCTTAAAGACCAGCAAAAGGTTGCTTATTCCTTGAAGACTTTAAAGACCAACACACGGGGGTCTTCTACTAGATGAGCAGAAGGGGGTCATATTTAACGATCAGTAAAGACTTTATAGCCTGAGCTTTTTAAAGTCTTTAAAGACGAGCCTATAATGATGTCTCTAAAGACGACTTCTGAAGAGTTTTGATGACGACAAAGGGAATTTGGGCGACCAAGGGAGTTTTTAGAATCGACCAGAAGGGAGTCTTATAGATACCAGAAGGGAGTCTTATAGACGAGCAGAAGGGAGCTTTATAGACGACCAGAAGGGAGTCTTTATAGACGACCAGAAGGGACTCTTTATAGACGACCACAAATACTTTAGATCAGCAGAAGGGGGTCTTTATAGACGACCACAAGGGAGTCTTTATAGACGACCACAAGGGAGTCTTTATAGACGACCACAAGGGAGTATTTATAGACCACCAGAAGGGTGCCTTTATAGACGACCAGAAGGGAGTCCTTTATAGACGTGCAGAAGGGAGTCTTTATAGACCAGCAGAAGGGAGTCTTTATAGACGACCAGAAGGGAGTCTTTATAGACGACCAGAAGGGAGTCTTTATAGACGACCAGAAGGGAGTCTTTATAGACGACCAGAAGGGAGTCTTTATAGGCGACAAGAAGGGAGTTTTTATGGACGACCACAGGGAGTCTTTATAGACGACCAGTAGAGACTATAGACCAGCAGAAGGGAGTCTTTATAGACGACCAGTAGAGACTATAGACCAGCAGAAGGGAGTCTTTAAGACGACCAGAATGTAATCTTTACAGATGACCAGAAGGGACTTTTTATACGCGACAGTTTTCTCCTCTAGATGAGCAAAAGGCAGTCTCCTAAAGATAGCGAGATGATAGACTCCTATAGAGGGCCAGAAGTTGGTCTGCAACAGACGAAACTAGGCTCTAGATCGATCTGACCAAGATCGCATATACACAGAAATAGCATCAAAATTTTAGAATAAGTTTAGATTTGTTCGAATTGGTCATCTTTGGCACAAATTATGACCTTCAACGGGCAATGAAACCGTCACACGCTGTCCGAAAATTGCTCTGCGGTATTTTGGCCCATTTCCGGCGAAGCCCTCGCTTGAGGTGATCGACATTTTGGTATTTTTTTTTTTTAGTGTCAACCTTGCTTTCCAAAATACTCCAGACACAATAGTCCAACGGATTGGTATCCGGAGATTTTGGTGGCCATTCTATGCTGGAAATGAAACGAGGGACCTCATTTTGTAACCGTTCTTGGGTGGCGCGTGATGAGTCTTGTTGGAATGTCCAAGGTCTGCGGCCAAAATGTTTGCGTGCTTAAGGCTTTAATACACCCTCCAGAATATTTTCGCGATAATATTCGGCATTTATTCTGATGCCACGGAGAGCGACCATCGGCTGTTATGGTGGCCCACACCATCACCATGGCCGGCGCTTGAGTTCTGGTAGCCAAGCGAAGGTGCGCATTTTCAGCAGACCTCTTTGGCAAGTAAACACGATCATTTTGTTTGTTCACAAACTGCTGGACAACGAATGTTTTCTCATCGGAGAAAACCAAATTCGGCAGTTCACCACTTTCGTCCACTTGCGAAGCAACCCTTTAGCTCTTTTGAGTCCACTTTTCTTCCTGTTGCGGCGTAAGTTATTGGACTTTTTGGAATTGGAGCTCATTTTTCAATATTTGCCGAATGGAATATTGCGATATGTTTAGCTCACGAGTCATTTTTCGGCCACTGCTTCTTTACTTTTCGAACTATTTCTGCTGATGTTGCTGTTTTCTTCCGTCCACTCCCTTGACATCGGGCTACGCCAGCAGTATCACGATAACGAGCGATGGTACGAGACACAAAAGATTTATTCACATTTAAATGCTGGAGTGCTCTAACGATAGCCACTTGTGGCTTTTGTACACTTGTAAACAATTAAATGAGCTCTCACTGGAATAATTTTAAGAGCTGTCGGACGAGTGGCTTAGATATGACAGCAGTCTGAAGTTGGTTGCAGTTTTTTCATCTCACCATCTCAAAATCATTCAATTTAAACCTCTGACTAATTTCTAATGTTTTCTTTCCTTTCTTTTCCTTTGCAGGATGGAAGAAGTTTCATAATACAAAATCAGGCACAATTCGCTCGAGAATTGTTGCCACTCAATTACAAACACAACAACATGGCCTCGTTCATACGACAGTTGAATATGTGTAAGTAAAGCTTTAAATAACCCCGCCTTTCCATTCCTTTTCGCTGATACATATTTCTCTCTCTTCCCCTTGCAGATGGTTTCCACAAAATCACCTCCATCGATAATGGTGGCCTGAAATTCGATCGTGATGAAATGGAATTTACCCATCCCTGTTTCAAGCGCAACTGTCCATATCTCTTGGAGCATATTAAACGTAAAATTGCCTCAACCAAATCCGTGGATGACAAGTCGGCAATGAAACCCGAAGCCGTGAATAAGGTTCTGCAAGATGTCAAGGCCATGAGGGGGCGTCAGGATTCGTTGGATTCACGTTTTTCGGTTATGAAACAGGAAAATGAGGCCCTGTGGCGTGAAATTGCTTCGCTGCGTCAGAAACATGCCAAACAACAGCAGATTGTCAATAAATTAATACAATTCTTGATAACAATTGTCCAGCCGCAGCGGAATATGACCGGCGTAAAACGTCACATGCAATTGATGATCAACGACACACCCGATAAGATGAAATTGCGCAAGGCCAGTGAATCGGAATCGGATTGTGGTCCAGTCATACATGAACTGGGCGAGGAGCTGTTGGATGAGGTATCGGAAGTTGAGCCAGATCTAATGTAAGTTGTCAACAACAACAACAAATGCCACAAAACTGTTTTATAATTGCAACATTTTTCTATTGAATTTCCTTAGGACATCCGGCAGTCCATTTCGCCAGAACTCAACAACCCCAACCACCACAGAGCCAGATGCAGCTGCCTCACCACAACACATTGAACGTCCCCATTCAAGCGTTAGCTTGTTGTCACAAAACTATGACTATTCCAATCAAAGCGGTGATGATGCCAGTTTGGGCTACATAAGTCCCAGCCTCAATAACTCATCATCGTCCAATCAAAAGGAGTTGGTTCAAGCCGTCAATGCCACAGATGGTTCGAATATTTTCTATCACATTACCGAGGTACCAGATGCCCATCCCCAAGAGCCGCCGGCACCACCAATCAACTACAATGATGACAACGTTTTGACCACACCCATGGTAAGGGCCGAAGAAATGGCTCGCACACAAATGTTAAGACAGAAGAATCGTCAAAGACGCAAGGAAATGGGTGCCTCTCCCGATAGCATGAGCTCAGGATCACCCAAGGGCAACAACAACAACAGTGATGTCACAAAACCCAAACAACAACGTTTACAACAAAGACCACAGCAGCAACAACAACAGCAGCAGCAGCAGCAGATGCTCTCCCAGGCCCAAGAATTGCCCCAACCCCTACAAATTAAATCCGAAGATGAACCCTTGGATCCCTTGATCTTTTTGAACGTATATCCCGATAGCAGTGGTGGCATGACACCCGATCCCAATTTGATTTCACCAAATCTCAGTGAAGAATCACGTCAATCATCGGCCACGAATGGTGCTGGCAACTATATGCTAAAGAGCCCATCCCTTAGCCAAGGCGCTGCTGGCAACAACAGCAACAGCGGTGCACGTGTATCACCCACTGAAAATAATCTCTTGACAGCTGGCACCACCACCACGAACACCAACAATGATTTATACAATCCATCAAATTTCATTACCAACGATATGCCAGCTGAAATATTTGAGGTTAGTTGGAAATGAGAAGCATTGATATTTTTTGAAAATAAGCGGGCATTTTGGGTACTTACCAATATTACTGAATACCCCTCGAGGGTAAATTTGGTAGTATATAATATGTTATATTTCGAAAGAAAGTATAGAGCTACATCAACTCTCTAACAGCGTGTTTTTATCGAGAACTCTTCTCAAGAACGAAATTTTAAAATATTTTATTTGAAATTTAAAGATTACTCAGAATCAAGATGTCATAGGTACAGAGTGTCTTTGGTAGAACTTCTGATAACCAGTCAAGCAACAAGTTTGTTACGTATGTTAAACCGCTAATGATATATCTAAGGGGACTTTTTGGCCTCTTTCTCAAGAAATCACAAAATAGTGATTTAAAACTTTAAAATTCGATTTTGAATTTAAGAATTACTCCTAATCGAGGTATGTTAGGTACACATTCTTTTGGATAATCCTCCTGATGACCCTTAGAGTAACTAGTTTGTGAAATATATTGACCAGCTGACGGCTTGTTTAAGGGGACTTTTTTTGTCCCTTTATCAAGAAATCACAAAGAGAGATATAAAATTTGATGATGATTTGGAGTCGGAAGATTCCTCTTAATCTTGGCATTTTAGGTATACAGTGTCTTTGGCAATTTCACTGATAACCCTCTTGCGAACAAGTTTGTGGAGAATGTTAACCCTCTAAGGACTCATTGAAGGGAACTTTTGGTCGGTTTCCGAAATGAAGATTTTTAATAATAATTATACCCTCAGCCATATGGCTACAGAGGGCATATATAATTTGATACAGCCAAAACGTGGCTCATCAAAATAACGATTTGGACCCTAGGTCTCTTTAAATCAAATCCGCTTCAGGATATTTAGAGTGGATCTAACGATGTCCATTCGTCTGTTTGGCTGGCTGGTGGGCACGATAACTCTCGAAGGAAGTATCCGATTTTATCCAGACTTGGTACATCGTAAAATTATTGTCAAACTCAGAACGAGTTCGGAGATGGGCAATATCGGTCCACACCTTCTGGTACCTCCCCCACAAAATATCATGATTTTTAAAGAAAATCATTTACTGCACAGAAAGAGAAAGGATAATCCGCTTCTGCTCCAACTTTGCAAATCTCTATATTTGCATCAGTGCTAGGTGAGGTGTGAAAATGGACAATATCGATGCACTCCATCAAGTCTTCCCCCACAAAGGGTCAACATTTTGAAAAATTATAAATCTTATAAAATGTGATGTAAGAGTGCGATTATCTTGAAGTTACACACATCCTAATATTTTTATCAACCCAAGGTCTGGTGTTTAGATGGAATATAACGGTCCACTCCTTCTGGTACCTCCCCCACAAAAGGTCGAAATTTAAAAAAAAAATATTTTTTTTACAGAAAGAGAAAGGATAATCCGATTTTGCTTCAACTTTGCATATCCTAATATTTGCATCAGTGCTACGTCAGGTGGACAATATCGATGCACTCCATCAAGCACCTTCCCCACAAAGAGTCAAAATTTTTGAATAATTTTAAATCTTATAAAATGTCATGTTATATTCCGATTTTTTTCAAATTACACACAACACAATATTTTTATAAATACAAGGTCTGGTGTAAAAATGGGATATATCGGTCCACTCCTTCTGGTACCTCCCCCACAAAGGGTCAACATTTTGAATATTCATGAAACTCATAAAACACGAAATTTACATCCGATTCCATTCACACTTGGCACATCTCAATATTTCCATCAACATAAGATCTGTTATAAAGATGGTAGAGATCGGAACATTCCTTCGGGTACCTCCCCCACAAAGGGTTAACATTTTGAATACCCAAAACGATCATAAAATCCGAAATAAGCATCCGACTCTTCAAATTACACACATCACAATATTTTTATTAACCCAAGGTCTGCTCAGAAGATGGAATATATCGGTCCACTCCTTCTGGTACCTCCCCTACAAAGGGTCAAAATTTTGAATATTCATGAAGCTCATAAAACACGAAATTAGCATCCGATTCTCTTCAAATTACACATATCACAATATTTTTATTGCCCAGGGTCTGGTGCGAAGTTGGGATATATCGGTCCACTCCTTTTGGTACCTTCCCCACAAAGGGTAAAATTTTGAATATTCATGAAACTCATAAAACCTCGAAATTAACTTCCGATTCCATTCAGACTTGGCACATCTCAATATTTCCATCAACACAAGATATGTTATAAAAATGGTACAGATCGGACCACTCCTTCTGGTACCTCCCCCACAAAGGATTAACATTTTGAATAACCAAAACGATCATAAAACCCAAAATAAGCATCTGATTCCCTTCAAATTACACACATCACAATATTTTTATTCACACGAGGTCTGATCTGAGATGGGGTATATCGGTCCACTCCTTCTGGTACCTCCCCTACAAAGGGTCAGAATTTTTAATATTCATGAAGCTCATAAGACACGAAATTAACATCAGATTCCATTTAGACTTGACACATCTCAATATATCCATCAACACAAGATCTGTTATAAAGATGGTACAGATCGGACCATTCCTTCTGGTACCTCCCCCACAAAGGGTTAACATTTTAAATAACCAAAACGATTATAAAATCGAAATACGCATCCGATTTTCTTCAAATTACACACATTACAATATTTTTATTCATACGAGGTCTGATCTGAAGATAGGGTATATCGGTCCACTCCTTCTGGTACCTCCCCTATAAAGGGTCAAAATTTGAATATTCATGAAGCTCATAAAACACGAAATTAACATCCGATTCTCTTCAAATTACACATATCACAATATTTTTATTTGCCCAGGGTCTGGTACGAAGTTGGGATATATCGGTCCACTCCTTTTGGTACCTTCCCCACAAAGGGTAAAATTTTTGAATATTCATGAAACTCATAAAACCTCGAAATTAACTTCCGATTCCATTCAGACTTGGCACATCTCAATATTTCCATCAACACAAGATATGTTATAAAAATGGTACAGATCGCACCACTCCTTCTGGTACCTCCCCCACAAAGGATTAACATTTTGAATAACCAAAACGATCATAAAACCCAAAATAAGCATCTGATTCCCTTCAAATTACACACATCACAATATTTTTATTCACACGAGGTCTGATCTGAAGATGGGGTATATCGGTCCACTCCTTCTGGTACCTCCCCTACAAAGGGTCAGAATTTTTAATATTCATGAAGCTCATAAGACAAGAAATTAACATCAGATTCCATTTAGACTTGACACATCTCAATATATCCATCAACACAAGATCTGTTATAAAGATGGTACAGATCGGACCATTCCTTCTGGTACCTCCCCCGCAAAGGGTTATTATTTTGAATAAACAAAACGATCATAAAATCCGAAATAAGCATCCGATTCTCTTAAAAAATTGTAAGAAGCATCCAAATCCATCCACCTCCTCAAATTTCCCACATACAAACATTTTTGCTAAGACAAAATCTGTAGTGAAGATGATATGCATTTGCCAATCCCTTCTAGTACCTCACAAAGGGTCACAATTTCCAATATTTATTCCTGTCACAACTTGCGAAACAAGTCAGCGGTTCTTTACAACTTGCTATATCTAAATATTTCTCTTAACCAGAAATCTGATATGGATATGTAATTTACCGAAATTTATGCTTCTGCATAAAATCTGATATAAATGTTGGATTTTGATATTTCCGCTATATCTGTCACCTCTTGCATATTTCCACATTTTCCAAACATTATAAGAAGCAGTTGATATAGTCCAAATCTGTCACGTTGTAATATTTATGTTAGTCTTAGGTCAGATGCGAAATGGTCAATATTGGCCAACTGCTTCGGAACCTCCCCCCATAAAGAATCAAGAGTTTGAATAATCATAACCCAACACTGGGGGTATACATCTGTCGGCAAAACCGACTGATTCTATTTTTGTAATTTTTTTTACGTCATTTTCTTATTTGTTTCTTTCACTCAAAGGATAACACCCTCATGTCTGCTGGAGATAACAGCAACTTCGATGACAACTTCAAATTGAATCTGCAAGAACAATTTGGACGGTCCACCGTTAATAGTGGCAAATTTTCCTCATACATGGCCGGTAATGGTAATGGTGGAGTTGGCACACTTGCCACTGGAGGAAGCGCTGGCCCCTCAACATCGGCTGCCTCTGTGGGCTTGTTGGCAAATAATACGAACAACAACAACAACGGCAACGGCAATAACTCGGACACAAAACCCTCAACATCGAAATCATCGAATGGTAACATGACCTTGACAAAATACAACAGCAGCGGCAAGCTACCTTCGAACGAGGATATAATGCGGTTGAGTACAGCGTTAGTAACTGAGAAATGAAATAAATTCTTAGTTGCACTCGCATGAATATTGAAAATACTAACTTGATTGTTTGTTTGTTTCCCCCTCCCCCTCCCCCCGTTTAGCTCTGAGGTAAGCGGCCATTTGGAAATAATGCAAGACGAATTGGAATCGTTAAAGGATCTGCTGCGCAGTGATGTCTATTCGTTGGATCACAACACTTTGTTGGGCGTAAGTTCATTGCCTATTATTAATGGTCAAGATGAAGCAAATCTTCTAACTGCTGGCAGTAAACAAAACTTGAATATTGAGAAAATAGCTAACCCAACTAATGTATATAGCAACAACATGATTAGTAATGCTAATGGCGAAGACTGTAATAATGTTGGTGGTCAAGAGGAAGATATTGATCAGACACGTTACAAGATACTGCAATTTCTTAATGAGTCCATATTTAATGATTTAGATTAGAGACGGCAGATAGAAGGAACGATAGAAAGAAACATAATTTTTAATTATGGAATTATTGCGGAAATTAATGTTGCTATTCTATAATATAGTTTTGTAAATGATTTTTCTATGAAACACAAAAACAACAACAAAATATTTTCTCTATTACATACATAAAGCCAACAACAATGGGGTGCGAAAAGTTCTCCATTTTAGAAATTATTAAAAAACAAAAAGAACATTTTTTGTTAAGCTACATAATATTTAAACATTATTTGATACACTTGCTAAATGTACATAATGATTTTTATTATTATTATTTTTTTATTATAACATGATGAACATGAATAACAACAACAATAAGAATGATTAACTTTTAAAATGGGAAGACAATTTAAATTTCATTTACAGCTACAGATGATAGGTTACATTATTTGTAACATGGTTCGTGACCTTTTTTTGGGAAATTTTATATTTGTTTTTCAAAAAAATAAAAGGAAATTTTCAAATAAACAACATGCAGGGTGAGATAAAAAAAACTGCAACAAAGTCACACGCCATAATTTTTATTTTTTTTTTTTAATTTTCTTGAATGAAAGCAGAAAATGTCGGAAATAGCAACAAATTTTGGGATAAGTTTAGATTTGTTCTAAATTGGTCACATTTGGTACGAAGGTATGACCTTCAGACATCCAATGAAACCATCACACGCTGCCCGAATGTTGCTCTGCGCTACTTTGGACCATTCCCGGCAAGGCACTTGCTTAAGGTGATCGACACTTTGGTATTTTTTAGTGCCAACCTTGCTTACCAAAATTCTCCAGACATGAATATTCAAGTCCATCACTCGCTGCCCGAATGTTGCTCTGCGGTATTTTGGCCCATTCCCGGCGAAACACTTGCTTGAGGTGATCGACATTTTACTATTTTTTTGGTGACAATCTTGCTTTCCAAACCGTCACACGCTGCCCGAATGTTGCTCTGCGGTATTTTGGCCCATTCCCGGCGATGTACTTGCTTAAGGTGATCGGCCCTTTGGTATTTTTTTTTTTTTTTTTTTTTTTTTTTTTTTTTTTTTTTTTTTTTTTTTTTTGGCGACAACCTTGCTTTCCAAAATAATCCAGACATAAATATTTATGAAACTCATCATAAAACGTGAAATTAACATCAGATTCCCTTCACGCTTACTTGGCACATCTCAATATTTCCAGCAACACAAAATTTGTTATAAAGATCGTATAGATCGGACCATTCCTTCTGGTACCACCCCACATTTTGAATAACCTCAACGATCATAAAATCCAAAACAAGCATCCAAAACAAGCATATTTTTATTTGCCCAGGGTCTGGTGTGAGGATGGAATATATCAGTCTACTCTGTCGGGTACCTTCCCCACAAAGAGTCAAATTTTTGAATATTCGAAAATTAACATCCGATTCCATTCGGGATCTTGGCACATCTCAATATTTTCATCAACACAAGAGTTGTTATAAAGATGCTATAGATTGGACCATTCCTTCTGGTACCTCCCCCACAAAGGGTTAAAATTTTGAATAATTAAAACGATCAGAAAATCCGAAATAAGCATCCGATTCTCTTCAAATTACACACATCACAATATTTTTATTTGCCCAGGGTCTGATGTGAGGATGGAATATATCAGTCCACACCTTCGGGTACCTTCCCCACAAAGGGTCAACATTTTGAATATTCATGAAGCTCAAAAAAACACCATTGGCACGAAGGTATGACCTTCAAACGGCCAATGAAACCGTCACACGCTGCCCCAATTGTTGCTCTGCGGTATTTTGCCCCATTCCCTGCGAAGCATTTGCTTGAAGTGATCGATATTTTTGATATTTTTAGTGCCAACCTTGCTTTCCAAATACTCCAGACACAGTAGTCCAACGGTTTGGTATCCGGAGATTTTGTTGATGGTCATTGTGCGCTGGAAATGAAGCAAGGAACCTCATTTTGTAACCATTTTTTGGGTGGCGTGTGCTGATGAGTGCGATGGTGCTGAGTCCTGATGGAATGTCCAAGGTCTGCGGCTAAAATATTTGCGTGCCCAAGGCTTTAATACACCCTCCAGAATATTTTCGCGGTCGATTAATACGAGCGGAAAGCGACCGTCGGCTGTTATGGCGTCCCACACCATCACCATAGCCGGCGCTTGAGTTCTGATGGCCAACCGAAGGTGCACATTTTCAGCTGACCTCTTTGACAAGTAAACACGATCATTTTGTTTGTTTACAAACTGCTGGACAACAAATCTTTTCTCATCGTAGAAAACCAAATTCGACAGTTTACCACTTTCGACCACTTGTCAAGCAACTCTTTAGCCTTTTTGAGTATATTTTCTTTCAGTTGCGGTCTTGCAGGATCTTGCACTTTCAATGGCTTTACCCCGATCTAATTTTTTCAATATTTGCCGAATGATTGTTGCGATATGTTCAGCTCAAGAGAAATTTTTCGGCCACTGCGACTTGGTAGTGATCAATCAAGTCGCTTCTCTACTTTTCGAAGCATTTCTGCTGATGTTACTGTTTTCTTCCGTCCACTTCCTTGATGTGGGGGATAGGAGCTACCACTATCACGGTAACGAGCGACACAAAAGAGTTATTCACATCTAAATGCTGAAGTAGTCTAACGATAGCCACCTGTGATTTTCCATCCAAACATTAAGAAATCACACTATCACGCTTGAATTCCCTGTCGAATAACTTTTTTTCTGGAAAATTCTCACCAAAATGCTTTTGTACGCTTGTAAACAATATAATGAGGTGTCACTAGAATAATTTTAACATCTGTCGGACGAGTGGCTTAGAAATGACAGCAGTCTGAAATTGATTGCAGTTTTTTTCATCTCACCCTGTAGAGATGGTCATCTCTATAAAGAAAGTATTCTGCCTTTAGCAAAGAGCCAAATTATTCCTAAAATTCGATGTAGACAAATAAGATGGCATAGGAAATGAAACACTATTCGTCAAATCCGTTTAAAAAAGTATATGGGTATTTATGAAAATAAAAAAAAATAGCCTTCAACTAAAAGGTATAATGCCATGATTACGTTAGAACTTTTTGCAGGGTTAACCTACTTCAAGAGGGTTTATTTGAAGTATTAGTAATGAATATGACAATATTTATCCAAAACCAGTGGGTTAACCCATTTATGTGTAAACGTACTGTAAGGGTATATAGGAAACTCTTAAAAAAATATATAAAATCGAATATAAGAGTATTTCGGAGTAGAAAATTTAAAAAAACAAATGATCTAAAACTTTTAAAATCAATTCTAATCGGAGCCTATCGATATATGCCTACATGAAATGAACAATTCAATGATTTCAATAATTTTGTATTTAAAAAAAAAAATACATTAATTTACAGTTTTTGAGTATATTTTCAGCCAGTGACAAAGAGACAGATTCAAAGAAAGTTACCCAGAAAGAGAGAAAAGAGTGTGTCTGTCTGCGTGTGCCAAAGATGCCAAGTCGTTTAAAAAGCAAGATGAAAAGACCACAAACAAATACCCACGCAATTCTTCATCACAATTCCCTTTTTTTAGATAGAATGACAAAGGGACTCGGATTAATTACTTTCGTAATTCATAACTTGGTTTTTAATAGAATACACCATTGGATTTAATCTAAACCTTTTTCTCAAGATAATTTTATATAGCTTTCCATAGACGTATTCGTAATGAAAAGAAAAAAAATCATCATTCTGCTAGGAATCTTAAATATTGGAATTATAAAAATATGATTACATCCAGTCATCTATTTGGATCAACAATTTGAGAATAGGGGGTTTCTTGAATTCATATTTTAGAATTGAATATTAAAATTTATTTATATATATTTTTTTTTCTGTGTTGAGGACTATAATAAACAACACCAAGGCATATCTACTACTAGGTATTGTTATTCTTTTAGCAGCTCGTACTGCTGTGTTCGTTTTGATATCTTCTCTAATCTGGCTTTGCTTCTAACTTCAAGTTCAAAAGAAAGTCGACCTTTATTGTTTGGACCCATATCAACACAGGAGTTAGATGAGTAGGTTTTGTCGGGCAGGTTTTCTGCGCATTGCTGTCACTTCGAGCCCAATATGAATTGAGGCGGCAGCGTCATCCAGTTGAGGTAGCTCTCTTTTTTCAGCTACAATGCGAAGGGGTATTCGCTCTATATTCTGTTATAACTGCTGTGATCCCGTTAGAGTGAATACTATTCAATCCTGCTTGATAGGCCTGTAGATCTAGAGGTTCTGCCTTATATCTCAGCACTCCTCTCTCCCTCCCTTTCTAGTTCCTGAATGTCTTTGCTTACTTGCCTGGGCAGAGGTTGCCTATCGAGCAGATAGTGATTGAAATGGTTGAGCTTATTACACCCAAACAAGTAGTACATTGGCAGAATTTTATAAAACTTCCCCATGCTTCATTCATTTGATCACAAGGTGTTTGTTTTTATACCTTACACCACATAGTGGTAAAAACAAAATACAGATCGCTTTTATTATCCGACGAAAGGACGAACCCTATTGAAATTGGTGATAATGGGATCAGATTTAGATATAGCGCCCATATATATCTTCAACCGATTTCGGGTTAATTGTGCATCAAATGGCTAATATAAGTCCAAATAAGCTGTATTTTGGTACATCCGACCTAATTCAGGCTAGAAGCAAATACATCGAATTTGGTGAAAATCGGTTCAATTGTAGCTATAGCTTCCATATATATGTTTCATCCGATTTGGGGTTTTAGGTCCCTCTCATGCGTAATATGCACTCCACAACAATGATCTTTGGTACCGGATACAATATACAGCTCAGAAATAAGTTCCTAAAATTTTGTCAAGATCGGTTCAGATTTCGATATAGCTCCCATACATATGTTTCATCCGATTTGTTGTTTAACTCCCTCATATTCGTAATATGCATTCAACAACAATGTTTTTTGGTACCAGATATCTTATAGAGCTCGGAAATACCTCTGCCAAATTATATCAAGATCGGAGAGATTTGGATGTAGGTCACATATATACCTTCAACTGAGTTCGGGTTAATTGTGCACCAAATGGCCAATATCTGTCAGAAAGTCCTGAATTTTGGTACATTCGACCGAATTCGGTCTAGAAGCAAGTACATCGAATTCAGAGACAATCGGTTCAGATATGCATTTTTATACCCTCCACCATTTTATGGAGGTTATATTAGGTTTGTCATTCCGTTTGTAACACCTCGAAATATACATTTTAGACCCCATAATGTATATATATTCTTGATCAGCTTTAAATTCTAGGTCGATTTAGCGATGTCCGTTTCCAAACGAATTCATGTAGATTGATAAAATTTTACTCAAATGTATATTATGTCTTCAGGACTTTTGGTATTGAAAATGAACCATGTAGGTCCACGTTTTGGTATAGCCCCCATATAACGGTAACTCCCGATATTCGGTATTTTTATGATTTTAGCTACATTATTCATCGATTTTTTTATAAGTTCCGCATTTGAATATTGCAAAGTTACCTATGCATGTCCATGTCGTCGTATAGACCCTAATATAACAGCTTCATTCAGTATTTTAAAGATTTTAACAGAATATTTAACGATTTTTATTGTTTTTGAGAATTCGTTGCAAATGGTGGAGGATATTTAAAGTTCGGCTCGGCTTTTTACTTGTTTCAATACAATCCTTCTCCAACAGAAATAAAGCCAAATGTTGATAGGTGGTATGATCGACTTAAAAAAAAATCTTTTGTTACGGGAGCTCTACTAAATATGCATAGTGTTGTAGGATATCATATAGTCGCCCCCGCCCGACTTTGACTTTTCCTCACTGTTTTTTTTATAAAATTGTTTGAAATTTGTTCCTAACGACAGAGGTGGAGCATACCTCTCGAATATTGGAATTTCGTCATTGATTTTTTTGACATTATTGACTTAATTCCCAAATAATGGGAAGTATAAAAGTTCGCCTCGTCCGAACTTTACGTTTTAAATCATGTTTTTTTTTTGTACAAAACTCAATTTGTTCTTTTAACAAAATTCATTCCTGCGACTGTAAATGAAATCATTTAAATTTAAAAAAGAAAGCAAATTCCTGTTCTTTATAAGCTTTCAGTTTTTATTTATAGCAATTATACAAAACAATTTAGGTCCATGTTCTTTCAACATTATGTGTTTGTTTACATTCAACTGGTTCTTTCTTTTTTTTTTAATGATCTTCATTGAAATTCTCTTGCTATAAATCGAAAAACTATTCCAAATATAACTATAAAAAATCACATTTCTCATTCTATATAACCTGACTCTTCTTCGCCTTGTTTGTGTGCGTGTGTGTGTGTGTTTTAAACATCCCCCCAACAAACACTTGGATATTACAACAAAAATAAAACTCAACATAAAAATCAAAATTCTTTTTAAAAACGTATTCCTAAATTATGTAATTAATTTAATATTTTCCGATAATTGTTAAAAAAAAAACATTCGTATTTAAAAAAAATACCTTGATTTATGTAACTTATGAAAAAACAACAAACAATCCTACACCCATTACCATGGATGGGTTTATTTCCTAAACCAAATATTCTTCTCAACTTGAAAATATCATTCAATCACTCAAAACCCCCTTCAACCACACAAAATGAAGTCTTTGAAAGGATGCAACACCGGCACTCCGGCAACAGCAGGCATGACGGCAACAAAACCATTTACGAAGTTAAATATATTTGAGAACAATAATAAATATATTTTTGCCGCCAACTATGGAAGCGAATTACTACAAAAGGTCAGCTCTAACGAAAAAACAATGCATTTAGTCTTGAATGAGAGAAATTATAAAAGAAAAACGCCAACACTCCTTTCCTCCCTTTTTTTGTTTTGGAAAAGTGTTGTTTCGATTTTAACAATCTGGGTAGTTCGATAAATGTCATTGATTACAACAAACGATAACTTTGCGTACTATCATCACTAGCCAATGAGAGAAGGAGCTTATTCCCTCTCTCTCCTTAGTTTATGCTTTGTAACGGTATTTTTTCTAAATTCCCTTGAGGAGAAAAGAGGCTTCTTATTTGTTTTTGTCTATTTTTAAATTGTTAGAAAAAAAGAAACATCTCTAAATCATTGTTTTCTCGTATTCTTGTCTTTAACAAAAAATATTAAAAGTTTTTAAAACAAATTTACAAAAATATATTTTAACAACAAGACGTTTGTGCTTAGCGTGTGTTTTGTCTCTCAAGAAATGTTAGTAACAATGTTTTCCTTTCTCTCTTTCCCCTCTCACAGCTTTTTAATGATTCCGAAATTTTGGGCATGGGTGCATATGGTCTACATTTACCCAAAGACACCACTAATGATCGTAATGGTAAGTCATTAGTTTATTTTTATTTTCTCTTCTCCTTTTTGTTGTTATTCTTGGTTTTGTACGAAATAATCACTTTTCTCCATTTTGACAGGTTCTGAATTAATGGCCTACCAACCAATGTATGATCTGTCAGATATCATCAATGAACAAAGTGATTTGGATGGTATGTAACAACAAAAAATTGTTGACTTTTTTCATTTTGTTGTTGATCTTTTTGTTTTTTGCATTTACATTTTCTTTATAATTCTGTTTTAGTTAATTTTTGAAATATACAAACTAACTTAAGAAGAAAGAGGGGGCACATTCACATTCTCTAGCAGAAGTCATACCAAATGGGACTTGAACATGTGAAAGCTAGGTTTTTTTTTTCAAAACATCAAGGTGGATTTTTAAAAATGCTGTAAAAGTATAGTTTTGTTTAAAGACACTTTGGGAATTAATTAAAGAGAGAGCTTTAGGTTATAATTCCAATTTATTTGCCTAAAAAATTTGCGTATTTTACATACCAAAAGTGATGATATATTTTTTATGGTAAATATCAAATATATAAATTTCCTTTGTTCAGAAACTTGCATTGAAATTTGATGTAGAATATTTCTTCCTTTGGAACTTTACCCAAAAACTTAAGTATTATCAGAGATTTTGCCCTGGAATGGAAACGTGTCAAAGTAGTTCTAAAACGATATTTTATGTTACTTTCATGCATCAACTCAGAACAGACATCCAAAGGGAAATAAAAAAGGTTTTTTTTGGCAACATGGATTCAAATATTTTCTGGATATATAATGGAAATAGAGCTTTATTTTCTTTGGTGACTTATGGTGAAATTTTGTGAAGAATAATTTCGTCTTTGACGTTTTCATTCTAAAATGATGCTTTGCAGGAGTATTTTGGATAGATTCACATTAGGTACAAATTTAGTGTCATAGGGTATCATGTCTTTGTGCATTTGTTTGTAACATGGAGAAGGAAGCGAGATAGACCCATAGTTACTTATGGAATCTTCATAGAATCACTTTCTGAGTCGATTTATTCATGTCAGTCCGTCCGCCCGTCTGTCCATGTATTCCTGTGAGCAAAATTCAGGTCGCATTTATTAACCGATTGAGATGAAATTTCCCCAACAAAATTTGTTTGGCCCAAGGACGAACCCTATTGAAATTGGTTATAATCGGATCAGATTTAAATATAGCTTCCATATATCTTCAACCGATTTCGGGTTAATTGTGCACCAAATGGCTAATATCAGTCCAAATGACCTGAATTTTGGCACATCCCATCGAATTCAGGCTAGAAGCAAGTACATCGAATTCGGAGACCGGTTCCGATAATTATTTTTTGCATTTTATACCAGAAATTGGTTTAAAAAATAGCGGCCAAGAAAACATTGGAGAAATTGACCGTTGAGGATTGCATTTTTCAAATTCTATGTTGTTGCATAGGCTTATCAGCTTCCGAAATATATCTTTGAATCCTAAATTTGAAATTAGTTTGTTTTACTTGTTTATTTTTATAAAAACAAAGGCACTTCAAATTTGTCAACAATTTATGCAACATAGGTTACACAAGGTACGAAAAAGAACCATTCGCGTTGTCATCTTCACGAATGGTTTTTCTTTAATTATTCATGATTAGAGCAACTGTCTCTTGGGGAAAATATATTAAATTAAAACAAATCAAGAGATCAGAATTATATATATTGGATTTTTATTTTTTCTGGACTATTAGATAGAATTATAGAAAAGTATTCAAAGACTTTTTAGATCCTGGTTTTTATTTAAGGACATTATCATATTCTTATTCACATATCTATCACAGCTAATCCTTTCTCGTTATTTCTAATCCAATTTTGTCCAACGTTTAGTATGAGTTGCTGCTAGAACTGGATGTGCAGCCCTATTGTTATTAAGTTTTATTATTGTATATAGACATTAAAAGTTATTTTATTATGATAGGAGAAATACAAAACTAACATATGTTTTGATAAATGTACAGCCCCTTGAATTGTTTACAAAAATATATAATATAAATTCCCCCTGTTTCTCTCTATGTTTTCATCTTGTCTGTGCCACCCGCCCTCCCATATTTTCGAATTTTAGAGTAAAGCCAAAAATCACCATACCCCCACCCAACCACCTAAACAAATATCTACATGATACCAATTATTTTCTTTCTCAGCCGATAACAATTCAATGATGAGGCCACAAATAACCCAAGAACCAGATAGTTCAACAAAACAGAATGATGTTCAGCCCAGTTCCGGTTTAAATACGCCGTATCATGGAGTAAATCAACCGCCCCAGGCTTCACACAAACACAGTGAGGAAATGGTTGATTGATTGATTGCTTTTTTTTTTTGTTACGATAATGGGGTCTTCAAAAAATATTAATCACAACAGTAGGATCCCCGTATCTATATATTCATAAGATAATAATATTTTACATAATAATATATATGTAGTTCTAACAACTATTCATAACTAATATTTATGAATACTTTTGATGATTGTTTAACAAAATAGAAATGACAACATGTGGAAACAGGCATATTTTATAATAATAATAATAAGTTTTTACGCCCTTAGATATATATACACATATACATATAAATATTATTCTATAAATATTGATACAAACATTATAACTTTTATTTAAAGTTTTGTTTTTTTTATGTATAAAAAATATGTTTTTAATTATAAGATTATTTTACTGTATAAAAAACCACTAATTTTAGGAAAGAAAAAAAATTGAAATATTTTTTTTTAATTTTGCATCACATTTTAATAGACCAGACATTTCATTGAAGAAATTTTAATATAATTTTTTTTTTAGTTTTTGACCACATTTTCTGTTAAATACGAAGGAATTTTAAATCATTTCAACAGATATTTGAAATATTATATTTTTGTTTGTGACCACATTTTCAGTTGATTAAGAAGATTTTTTGAAGAAGATCCACATGGACCTAAAATTTCAGAATAAATTTGAAATATATGTTTTTTTTCATTCAAATTTCACATTTTAAGCTGACTCAGAAAATTCTTTACCAATTTTTTGTTTTAAAAACTTTTTTATTCGATTTGAAATGTAATTTTAAATTATAAAAAATTAAATTATCTGAAGCATTTCGATTTTTTAATATTGATTTGAAGCAAATTTTTCGAAAATGTTTAAATAATAGTTCAGGGTTTGGGTTCTTGTTCTACGGAAATATGAAATGAAAAATCGTTTCTTTAGAAAATTGTTAATTTGACAATTCTTTCCTTTCTGAAGGTTTTCATTTCACATCTACATATAACAAGAGCTAAAGGTGGGAATACATAAAGTGCTTATCTGGCTGACTCAAGTAATCGGCTGGCTTCTTCAGAAATGAAAAAAGGAACCTAGGGCCAAAATCGAACTAAGTCAACCTAAAATTCCTTTGTTCGCATGGTAGAAGAATATAGGTAGACGCGTCGACACAGCTGCTGGGACAATGAACTGTCAAACCAATTTTGGAATTGAAAATGTTGAATGAAAAAATACTTAAATTTGTAAAAATTTTTGAAAAACGCGAAATATAGTAGCCTCCGAATGACGTAGTATAAGAAAACATTTTTGACATATCAATGCTCCCAAGCGTTGATGCATCTACGTGTATTCTTCTGCCATGTTTGTTCATCTACGAAGAAGCCGATGACTTAAACCAGCCAAATATGCGCTTTATGTATTTCTACTCTAAGCCCCAGATACTTGAAGTCAATTTTTTTTTAATTTTAAATATCAAAGTGCTACCAGAAGAGGATTTTTAACGTATATTTTTGGAAAAAATTTACTTTTAAATATATTTGTTTTTTTTTTTCGTCTCATGTATTTCTAATACTGATTTGATTAACAACTAATTACAAAACAATTTTTGAAAGGTTTTTATTTTAGATTTGAATCACATTTCAAATAAATCGTAATGTTAGAAAAGAGTTTTTGAATTTGTTATCTCTCTCTACCTCTCTCTTATAAATGGATTACTACTTGAAAGAAATTGAATGTTGTTAAATTTTTAATCATTTTTTTACCCACAAATTTTAGTAGACCACAACACAAAAAGTGGGAAATTTTAGAGAAGACACTATTCAAAATATAAACTTCCTGTGATTTTTCTTACTCCTCCCTGTCAATCGACAGAAAATATGGATGGAGTTAGCCCCCCCTAAATGTTACTGTTATGCCCAATTCGTTTAATTTTTCATATCAGTCTCAGCCTTGTGACAAAAATTTGGCCTAGAGTACCTTTTTGATGCAAAAAATCTATTTCAAAAACATCTCCTGACAATGTCCAGAAGGTCGTATATAGAAAATATATATTTTTTTTAAACAACACTTCAAACTTGGCACCATTTTAAGCAACATAGGTTACACAAGGTACGGAAAAGGCCCTTGTCATCGCTTGTCCATCTTCACATTTTTTTTGCTCAATTAGAATTGCAGAATTGTGACTCGAGAAAGCCTTTAAATGAAAAAATCAAAAGATCAGAATTCAAAAACCGGATATAGGATTTTTTCTGGACTATTAAATAGAATCACAGAAAAGTATTCAAAGGCCTTTTATATCCTGGCTATTCAGTTAAGGAAATTTTAATTTTTAAACACATACCATTCACAAAGCAAAGATTTCTGCCTAAAGGCCTTATAAACCTAAAACATTTATAGAAAATATTCAGAAAACCTTCTGGAGGTTTGTGATCAATAAACTGTTAAGAACTATCTAACGCTGGCAGTACTTACTTCTAGGTGCCCTAAAGACAGAAATGCCCTCTAGAATATTCTACAAAACGAGGACCTTCAAGATATCTTCTATGTAAGAGTTTAGGTAATCTGCTGGCACTTCCTGAAATTTTAGTGTGATTTTTTATTCGTTGAAACCCACCTAAAAAAAGAATTCCTCTTCATTTTTTAAAAATTAGTTTCTTCGTCGTAATTTTTCTATGGCCACACTTTTTGTTACAAATATGAACATTGTAACACCGAAATCACACACAAGTAAAGTGTGAAATTTTTTGATGAGAACATTTGAAAATACCAATAATAGGCGAGGACTTGAATGTGAACATGAAATGTATTTGACTTTTAATTGTCGACAATATAAACGACATATTTCCAAAGAATGAACTTTTAAATATATTTTTGTAAACATATGAAAATCGTATTACTAATACACCTCCTTATTAGTACACACGCACACACTCGTGTAAACTGTGTAATATTTTTTGTTTCCTAATTATAATCACTATTTTTGTCGCCAGTTTTAGCATGTTTACACATATGAAAATTCTGTGGATTTCAATTGCCAATTCCACTGCGCCTGAGTCTGAAATTCAGTGAATTTTATTTGACATGCTTTTTGGAATTGACACTTGAATCCAATGGATATCTTTGTACATGTTGACATGTTTTGTTATGCCTTTTTTTTTTAAACGAAAACACATTGTGTGACAAAACAGATATCCCATATGCCTATTATACAAATTATAAATATTTTTATACATACATACAATTTAACATTTAATTTTCTTAACTATTAATTGTTTTAGTTTCGTATATATTATTTTAACTTTCAAAATAAATATTATCACAAAAATTGGTTATCTATTTTATTTCGGGATAATGGAAAGAGTTAACTCTGCTCTCGGTATGGAAATAAAATACAGTTATACTTGTAGCTGAAAACAGTCGGCCCAATTACGGTTGTTGTTTCTATAGTCGCCGTCGACGTTATGTACAAGTCGCCATCGCCGTCGCTTTGATTCAGTTTAAAAAGAAGTTGGCACACTCTCTGTTGTTGACAGTGAAAAGAAAATTGTTTGTATTTGAATCTTATTTCTTCTCTTTCGAAAAAAATATAGTGACATACATAAAAGCTTCACATCTCTTAAATTCAATTAAGGATGAAGAGAACAGGTATTAGGGTGGAAATACATAAAGCGTATATTGACTGGCTTAAGTCATCGGCTGGCTTCTTCTTAGATGAACAAGGAGTTTAGGTTGACTTAGTTCGATTTCGGCCCTATGTTCCTTTGTTTATTTCCGAAGAAGCCAGCCGATGACTTAAGTCGCCAGATAAGCGCTTTATGTATTCCCACCTTTAGTAATGCAGCGACTAGTGCTAAGGCAGCAAATAAACATATTGACATTAACCGACTCCATGTAAGTACATATTTTAATTAATTCAATTAAAAATATGTACTCAATGTGTTCTTTTTTAGATTTATAGATTACTTCAAATTAATAGGGACTGTTTCGGCATGTGCCAAGAAATTTCACCAAAGCTGCAAAGTGACGCCGGTCATTGGCTCTTAAGGTGGAAATACATAAAGCGCATATTTGACTGGCTTCTTCGTAGATGAACAAAGGAGTTTTAGGTTGACCTAGTTCGATTTTGGCCCTAGGCTCCTTTGTTCATTTCCTAAGAAGCCAGCCGATGACTTAAGGCAAGCAGGTAAGCGCTTTATGTATTCATTGAGGTTTTTTAACGCTAGGATCTTATCCAAATTGTTTTGCTGTTGGCAAATAGGCTTCAATATCAACGACGACTATTCTCAAAAATCGACTTTACGCCGACTGTTGTATCGACAATGATAATAGCAATCATTCATCGCTATCGACAAAAAACGACAACCCGACGATGACGACAGCAGTAATAGGGCCGAATGTTTCACGTTTCGATGAGCCAAAAATGAACGCACGCCGAAATCACGACTAAAGGTGGGAATACATAAAGAGCTTATTTGGCTGGCTTAAGTCATCGGATGGCATCTTCGAAAATTAACAAAGAGGCCAAGGAACAAAATCGAACTATGTCAACCTAAAACTCCTTTGTTCCTCTACGAAGAAGCCGGCCAAATATGCGCTTTATGTATTCCCATCCTTAAGCTTTGATCTGTTTCACCCTTTAGACATATGGTGCATCAGTTGTGGATTATTATCACCTAAAGTCTAATTTACACCGAGCATGTTTTTATAAAAAAGTAGGTGTATCTGATTACCCTACAATTTGTAAAGATTGTTGCAAATTATTACTAGAACTCGTTTTTGACGCAAAAAAAGAGCGTTTCAAGAGATACATTTTGACAGTTCATTCACTTGGAATTTGCAAATTCTTGCCGAAGAAATTTCTTTTGTGCAATCACTTGCAGCTTTCTACTCTTCTCATTTCGATGATTTATATTTCGGCAAACAATTTTAGAACATCTTTGTTTTAGAAAACAGAGACCTTTTGACGGTTCTTTAATTGAGAGTTTGGAAACTTATGTCGGACAAATGTCTTTACAATTCACTTGTAACGCTTTTTCTTCCGGTAATTTATGTCTCATCGGGCAGCTTATTTTTTTATTTTTGATATTGCAAGGCCATTTGCATGCTTCATATCTTTTTATGGCGAGGATTTTTTTTGTTTAAACAAAACAGATGATTACTTGCAAATTTCTTCAGGATTCCATTAGTTTACCCTATGGCTCGTTTAGATACAACATCTCCCCGAATTATTTGAAATTCGGGTGAATCGGATCTAATAAAACTCAATAGATAAATCTTCAATAGTATAAAGACGCTTTTACTCTCCCTCTCAATTCCTACAGGAAAAGTAATCAGACATAACTGTCATTTTGATTGTTGATTCCTTTGATATACGTAAGTAATGACGAATCATCATAAAATGCGTAATTTAAGTGTCGGTGTGAAGGGTGTGTAATTGAAAGTGAAATCCACTAAATCTCGCATAAGTGTAAACATTTCTTGAAACCGCAGTGTAAAGTGTACCGTTATATTTGATATTCCTCATTTTTTCTTCAATATCATGTTTATATAAGATCTTTTTGACAATATAAATCCACGGGAATTCCCAAATAACTTGAAATATATTTGGTAGAAATAGAAAAAATTCAATGGAAATACTTTAATTTATAATGAAAAATAATAAACAAAGAATCTTATAGCATGTTTTACATGCGATAAATATAATTCATTTAATGTCAAATTTGCAGACCAGAGGATTTATTTACGTATAAGCAATTGCATTAATCATGGTAGAAGAATACAGGTAGATGCATTAACGCTTGAGAACAGTGATATGTCACATTTTTAAAATGTTTTGTCAAAAAAAGTGGGTTTTATATATTTTCTTAGCAACGCAAAAAAGATATTGTTATGATATGCATTTTTTTCCATTTTTTTTTTACATTTCAATAGTTTTTCATTCAACATTTTCAATTCCAAAATTTGTTTGACATTGCATTCCCAGTAGCTGTGTTCGATGCGACTACCTTTTTTTTCTACCATGGCATTAGAGTTAAAAATCCACTGTTTTTTATTGTATGTAAACATGCCTTGAGATTTTTAGATCTAATAATTTAAAATCTAAATAAAATTTACATATGCCTTCAAGAACGCCTCACAAATTTTCTGATAATTCGACAGAAATTTTAATTTAGTACTTGCTTTGGAAATTTGTAAAACGTCGTGTTTAACAAAAGCTTTATAATCATTAAATATGCCACTTCTTTTGTTTATATAATTTTAGGAGAACCATATTTTCTTTTTTTTTATTCCAAATTTAATTATATTTAAGTTATCTCGAACATATTTTCATAAAATGAAATTTGTATTTCCTAGTTGTACTGTCTGTTCGGAACCAATAACAAATTATAAACCCACAAGACTGTAAAAAATACTATGGCAAAAATGTTTTTCTCTGTTGTTTCTTTAGTATAAAAAATATATATGTATTTACAAATATAGAATATGATCCATAAAATATGAGTTTTATACATTTAAGTTAAAACTCAAAACATTACATATTGTTTTAAGTAAACCTATTTACCATGGTAGAAGAATACAGGTGGATAAATCAACTTGATATGTCAAAAAATTTTAAATTTTTTTTTTCATAACTTTTAATCGGAAGTTGTTATGATTGATTTTTTATTCACTACACTAT